AGGTCCAAATATCTTCTTGGTCTCCAAAGACCACATCATGCTAGATGCATTGGTCTCCCGTTCAACGACTTCTGTAGGAGTTGTCAAAATGAGGATGAAGAAGAGACTATTACTCATCTTCTCTTCACTCTTTGGCAGAGACCCGAATTCGGACACTTGGCCTATTATGGCGATCTACCCGAATTGTCAAATATTCAATTGGGACGTCTTCTGACGTTTATAAATTTGTCAAAATGGGTGTGAACCTTGTTACTCACACTAATTATCCATGGCAGTTTAGGCCTGGATTTTCACTTCAGCAGTTTCCTCTCATCTCCTCTTTTTCTTTGGTACTCTGTTTTTCTACTCTTCCCTATCTCTCTTTTCTTCTAACAGGTATTTTTACAAAGGGATCAACCTGGACCCAAGTAAAACCGAAATTGGCTACCTGTGATAACCTAACCTAATCTAACCTAGATTAGGTTGATACTTAGTAGGATGTATACTACATCAAATCCAAAGAATATACCTAGGCCACTATCGGGTCAGTTGTGCGCTCTTTTAATTCCGGAATAATATCACTTTCAAGATACTTGGTTTTAACTTCGACGAATGCCTGACAGTGGCAAAGAAAGTGCTTCAGAGTTTCACTGTCCTCTCCACATGCTCTACATTCGTCTGAATCCGCACGTCGAATTTGGTATAGATATGCTCGTAATCCTGTGTGTCCACTCAGAATACATACCATCATACTAACCTCAGACTTGCTCATTCTGAGGAGATTTGTCGTCTTGCTCTCATCAGGGTCACCGCATAGGATCTTTGAGGTTCTACCCAACGTTTCATTATTCCAAGAGGCCTCTCACCCATATTTTTAATTTAGCTTTTGGTGCTTCGAATGGTTTTGCGTGCGTCAGGTTAACTACCTCGAGCTCCCATCACTTTAACTTGGACTCAGGATTATGGTTAATAGGGGGCGTGGCACATACCATGTAAAGATAAAACTTTGTATATTTGGGAAATAATTAGAGCTATAAGCCTAAAATTTGCACAAACAACTTGGACATCACTGTGAACATTTGGTGAAAAAATGAAAGACTAGCAATCGGGGCCGTGCCACACCCCAGGTGAATTGAATACAAAAATGTTTATATCAAAGAAACTATTAAAGCTATAATTCAGAAATTTTGCACGAACAACCTTGACATCCGTAAGCACCCCTCACCAAAGCAATTAAATAAACAAGTAAGAATGTATAGTCGGGCATGGCCGACCGTATAATACCCTACACCAGTGAGTATGTTAAAAATGTGGATTATTTTTCTTATAATAAAGCATTTTTCCTTCATTCCAAAATATTTTAACAATTTGTTACCAAAATAACGTGATTTTCTGAAAGAGTGGTTATGTGGGGGCAAAGGTGAATATGGTCCTATCCGTATAAATTCTGGTAGAGCGATTTACGATGACATTAAAGTTATCTATGCAGAATTTCTGGTAGAGCGATTTACGATGACATTAAAGTTATCTATGCAGAATTTCAATGTGATAGTAGTGTGTTTAAAGGTGAATTTCCACCTTCAAGTAATTTTCTGATAGGGACTTTTTATGGAGGCTAGAATCAAATGAGGACGTATTATTACGAAAATCGGCAGTATTACTTAATGTTATATAAAACTAATATTTAACATTATTATAAGCTGAAAAGCTCTATTCGGGGGATACGGTTGTATGGGGGCTAGGCATAATGAACCGATTGCAACCATTTTCAATAGGCTGCGTCCTTGGGTCAGAAGAAGAGTATGTGCGAAATTTCATCATAGGTTTACATGGACACCCAGACGGGCAGACAGACAGACGGACAAACAGACAGACAGACGGACGGATAGACGGACATAGCTTAATCGAATCAGAAAGTGATTCTGATCCGATTTGTGGGTGTTACAAACATCAGCACATATCCTACACCCCCGATTGTGGCGTGGGGTATAAAAATTTGTATATCAGGGAAACTATTACAGCTTTGTAAATCGTATAGCTAGTTTTTTTATAAAAGTCTTCAAAATGGCCATTAATTCCTTTATTCAAAACAACTCATACTTGAATATTTAACTAATAATGCCACATAACTTTTATTTGCTTACAAAATACAAATAAATTTCAATATTTTTTTTCTTATATCCAGTCTAGTAGTTACTTACTAATAATAAACCGTCTACAACTATATACATATGTATAAATAACTATACATACAAAATACCATGTAAATAAAATTTATTATTATAAAAAAACTTTTAATAAATAAAAACCTATAAAATTTTATAACTTTATAAACTGTAAATATTTATCTTGATTTTTGTTGGTAGAAAAAAAAAACTCTTTAGAAAATTTAACTAAATTTAAAGAGTTTTAACTAACTACAAACAATTTAAGTTAAATAGTAGAAAACCGATAAAAAAGGAACTAGAAAAAAGTTCTGCACTTTAAGTGTGAAATAGTTTATTCTAAAAGTAGTTGCTTTTTCCTTAAGTAGTGTTTTTAGTAGAATTAAAAAGGTAGAAAAATGTTTTCTTGTTTATAATTGTGTCTAAAAAAAGAAATTTTGTAGATTTTTTTTTTGTAACAAGAGGCATTTTAATAAAAACAAGTTTTTTAACAAAATATTATAATTAGCAAAACAGCTACTCAAGTTTCAACAGCAGCAGCAGCAAAACCTATACAAACACGTTCACACTCTCAGCAACCACCACCTCCCCTACTGCCCTTGACTTTGGCTACCACAGCTATAGCAACAGCCACTGCTGCGGCTACTGGTCAGCCTAAGGCTACGAAAGAAAAAAGCAATAAAATGGCTTCAACAGTAGTTAAACCCATGGCCACGCTATCAAATATAGCTGCCCCTAACCCTGCACAGGGAATTGTTAAAAAAATCAAAGTTCTTAAGAGAGAAGACAAAGTTTTGGTGAAAAGAAACTCAGAAATCGAACAAAAACCAAAAGTTTTGGTGATGAAAGAAACTCGGAAACCGAACAAAAGCGACCTGGTACTACGGAATGGGAGAAGTTTGCCGATATGTTGGCACAAGTTAGAAAATTTAATCCTCAAGATGCTCTCAGACGTGGAGGGACCTTTTCGAAATTTGGCACCGGTAATGGTAGACCCTCTTATTTCGGACATCACACACGTAGTGGCTTAGGATGATGATAGCAGCGACCACCACCTCCAATTTCCGAGGCAGTCCCATAAATTCTCAACGTTCTAGCGCTAGGGCAGGTGGTAGAGTGCAACGTTTACCCAATCGTCCCAATACCGGTAATCATCGTAAAAATCATCATGAATTTTCCTCAAACAATGCTGGCGGTAGGTTTGCTAATAAAACACGACGCAATAGCAATGTCAGCTCATCGTCTGGAAGAAAATTTGATTTTAATCCTACGCGATCACGATTAAATGAACTCGTTAAAACCGTAAGTTCTTCTCCTCTTACAGCTAAATCTCTTTTACAGACCACCATCACACAAAAATCCTCTGCACCATCGTACTATCAAACATATGAGAGTGTTAAATCTCCTGCAAACATGAGATCACATCACTCTCGTAACGATACGAGAAATTTGCCTCCCTTGGATTCAATAGAGCATAATCATTACCACCATCACAAACAACAGCAACAACAACACCTTAGATCTGATTATGCTCTTACCCTCCTCGGCCTATGATCAACACCACCACCACCAACCACATCACACCGGCAGTAGTATGCCTTTGCAAAGTGATGCCTATAGTAATGATCCTACCTCTCTACTAATCCGTCAATCTTCCAACACTTCTCTCTTCAGTAATAGCTCTTATGTGGATAATTTACATTCATCATACAAATCCACCACTCAACTGGATGTGATGTCATTAAACCCACCGGTTAAGAATACCTCATCGTTCTTATCTACACCGCGTACTTCACCGTTTAGTATAAGAAAATCCTATACGGATCTTTATTTTACAACATCTAGTAATAAGGAGAATACTAAACCATGTGCTACGTCATCAGAGTTGTGTTCAAGGGATAAAAGTCCCTATAAAGTGCGTAAACGCTGTGATGTTTGTTGTAAAAATATTCGATAAAATAAAGAATTTGATAAAGTTTGTAAAAAGAAAATTGTTAATTTTCATTTAAGGGAAAAAAAGTAAGTAAATTTTTTAAAATTTTAACACAAATTAAGTATCAAAAGGTACTTAAAAAATCCCTTTTGAACCTCGTTATTGACTTCTAAGAGTTAACTTTGAATAGAAAATATTACATACAATCAGAAATCAAAACAATTCCTTGAGGCTTTGTTAAGCTTTTTGTGATTTCGTTGCTTTAGAAACATATATAAAAAAGTACCAAAACATACCTAAAAGTACCAAAAATTATAGTCTCCATATTTTATTTTGATTTCTTTATATATTGATAAAATCATCATTATAAAAGTACTAGTTCACAAGAATTGATAGCAAAAGTTATTTATTCCTGGTGTTCAAAAAGTACCAAAAACTTTCAAATATACAAAATTGTACCTTTTGTCCATATTTCCGGTACTTTTGCGTCCTTCAAATGGTACTTTTTGTAATTTCTTTATTATTGAACCTAGAAACATATCCTGAGTAAATGACAATCTATAGAGGATTTTAACGTACATGATCTTGAAGGGGGGATCTTTTTGGTACTTTTTGAATTTTTTTAATAATTAACTTAGAAATATAAAATTAAGCCCATAGGGACCATAGCTAATGAAAAATCTATGAAAGGGAACTTTTTGGTACTTTTACGGTCTTCAAGTGTTAGTTAGTTAGTTAGTTAGTTAGTTAGTTAGTTAGTTAGTTAGTTAGTTAGTTAGTTAGTTAGTTAGTTAGTTAGTTTAGTTAGTTAGTTAGTTAGTTAGTTAGTTAGTTAGTTAGTTAGTTAGTTAGTTTTAGTTTAGTTAGTTAGTTAGTTAGTTAGTTTTAGTTAGTTAGTTAGTTAGTTAGTAGTTAGTTAGTTAGTTAGTTAGTTAGTTAGTTAGTTAGTTAGTTGTTAGTTTTTGTTAGTTAGTTAGTTAGTTAGTTTTTTGTTAGTTAGTGTTCGTTAGTTGTTAGTTCGTTAGTTAGTTAGTTCGTAGTTAGTTATTTCGTTAGTTCGTTCGTTAGTTCGTTAGTTCGTTTCGTTAGTTCGTTCGTTTCGTTCGTTAGTGTTCGTCGTTCTTCGTTCGTTCGTTAGTTAGTTCGTTCGTTCGTTCGTTCGTTCGTTCGTTTTCGTTCGTTCGTTCGTTCGTTCGTTAGTTCGTTCGTTCGTTTAGTTCGTTCGTTCGTTCGTTGTTGTTCGTTCGTTCGTTCGTTCGTCGTTCGTTCGTTTTCGTTCGTTCGTTTGTTCGTTCGTTCGTTCGTTCGTTAGTTCGTTCGTTCGTTCGTTCGTTTAGTTCGTTCGTTTGTTTTAGTTCGTTCGTTTTCGTTCGTTCGTTCGTTCGTTTTCGTTCGTCGTTCGTTCGTTCGTTCGTTCGTTTCGTTCGTTCGTTCGTTCTTCGTTTCGTTCGTTCGTTCTTCGTTTTCGTTCGTTTTCGTGTTCTTCGTTCTTCGTTCGTTCGTTCGTTCGTTCGTTCGTGTTTCGTTCGTTCGTTCGTTCGTTCGTTTCGTTCGTTCGTTCGTTCTTCGTTAGTTCGTTCGTTCGTTCGTTCGTCGTTCGTTTGTTCGTTCGTTTTCGTCGTTCGTTCGTTTGTTTGTTTGTTTCGTTAGTTCGTTAGTTTCGTTCTGCCGTTATGGGCCTGTTGTGCGCTCTTTAACCTGTGGTTCAGATGGGAATCAAAACCACCACCTTCGGACTACCAGACTAAAACAGTACCCACTAACATACCGGAGGCCACATCTGACTTATTGAAAATCTGTTAAAAACGGTTTTTTGGTCCTTTTTCTTTATACCCTATAACCACTATAGTAGGGAGGGTGTTATGCATTTGCGCTAATGTTTGTAACACCGAAAAATATTGGCCCTACACCCACCTTACAGTATGTATATATAAAGTATATAATAGAGTCAAAATAATCTTCTGAGTCGATTAAGCTATGTTCGTTTGTCTGTCCGTCTATGTGTCCATATAAGCTTGTGCGTACTCTACAGGTTGCAATTATCAAGATTATTTGATGAAATTTGCCACATACTATTCTTTCAACCCAAGGACGAAGCCTATTGAAAATCGGTCCATAATTTCGCCCAGCCCCCATACAACCGTACCTCCCGAATAGGGCTATTGAGCTTATAATAATGTTAAATATTGTACAATCTCTACAAAAGTCTGAAAATCTTAGTTTTATATGAGTATAAATGTTACTGCCGATTTTAGTAATGATAGGGCCTCGTTTGACCCTAGCCCCCATACAAAGTCCCCTTCAGAAAATGACTTGAAGGCGGAAATTCACCTTTAAATGCTACTATCACATTGAAATTCTGTAAAAATAACTTTAATGTCATCATAAGTCACTCTACCAAAATCTATACGGATAGGACCATATTTACCTTTATCCCCATATAACCTCTCTTTCAGAAAATCACTTTTTTGATAACAAATTATTAAAATATTTCGGAATTAAGGAAAAATGCTTTATTATTAGAAAAATAATCCACATTTTTAACATACGGGTGTAGAAGGGTATAATATGGTCGACCATGTCCGACTATACATTCTTAATTTATATAACGGTAGCGAAGCACGTCAAGTACTCAGGTTTCTAATAATATTTAAAAAAAAAAAACATTTACTTTGATTGCAAATACTTATTTCTATAGAAAAAAAGTCACACTCTGGAGAATATACAGAATAAAATACAGTCATTTATAAGATCTTAAGCAATAAACTACGATAAATGAATAATCGCGCGGAAAACGCGTGGCAAAGTATTTTTAAATCGTATTATATACTCGAAAATATATTTAAATATTTAGATTTAAAAGAACAAATAAAATTAGCGACAGTGTGTATGCGTTTTGCATACGTTTTAGCCGAATTTCTGTGGCCTAAAACTTGGGCCAAAATAAATCTATATAAAACGCCTGATGTTAGTATAATCAACAAATTGATAATGACAATGATACGGAAATGGATGAAATGATAAGCAGCAAAATTGCCTTAAAACACAAAGAATGTAATATATTTCTATTAATAAACGCCAGAAATGTAAAAGCGCTAAAAGTGAAATCGGAATATTTTATGATCGCATTGATCGGGCAATTTCTTTTAGAAATATAGAAAAATTTAGAAATTTAAGAAAACTCACCTATCAACGTCTCATTTTAGATGATGACCAACTGAAAGTTTTGTGTGTAAATTGTAAAAAATTACAGAGATTACATTTACTAGACTGTTATAATAAAAACTTGAAGACACTTATTCCTGGCAAGGATTTAAATTTGAATTATATTTTCGAAATGAAACAATTGGAGGAAATTATGATATACACAACGGATCCAGCTAATCAGGCAGTATTAAAATCTTCTCATCTACCAGATATGTTTGTCAATTTAAAGCTGAAGAAATTGATTTTGAAAAATTTTGTCATTAATTATAATTATACTGAAACCGTGAAAAGTACATGCACTACGTTGGAAGTTCTTAATATGGGCATTATATCTAAAGAAATCTGGCCCAGTTTTATGTATTATTTGTATCATTTTGAAAATCTCAAAGAGCTTTTTATCAATGTTAGCAACTGCAATACTTGCTTTGATATTCAAATCGTTGATATTTTGGCGGCCAACTGCAGAAAAATTGAAAAATTGTCACTAGAAAATTGTGATTTGGATGTTGAGGATTTTAGTGTTCTAATAAGTCTTAAACATTTATCATTGACTTCTTGTGGTGGTTTAACATATAGAAATTTTCAACAAATATTACAAGATTTACAGTTAAAATCATTTGCCCTGATTAAAACACGTATTTATGGCAGAATGACTTCTTATTATGGTTCAGCTACTTTGGAGAAAATCACTATTGATACCATATACTCTACAAAAATATCGGAAGCTTTTCAGAAGGCTCGTAATAATTTTGAAAATTTACACACTCTAGAGTGGTTTAACGGTAGTACAAATGGCAATTGGCTGACTAATAAATGTCCCAAATTGAAATGTTTACACATACCCAATCCTTATTCAGTGAAAAGGTTTGTTTTTACCATGCAATCGCTCAGAGATTTAACATTTACTTACAGCAAGAGTAATATGTTTTACTATATTTTTGCTTTGATTCATTATATGAAACTGGAACGTTTGTCCTTGGTGACAAACGAACTGATAGATGAAAGAAAAATGTTAAGACTTTATGCCTGCAGTAAAAAAACCACCTTGCGCCTGATAATTATACCATGTATAATATTTAAAATGTCCCAATCATTTTGGCTTGATCTAATATATAGCAATGAGGATTTACATATTACGATGTATGGCAAACATGAGGAATTACTGGATGACTTTTTTCTGCGTGAATTGATTAGTTCTGAGAAATTCTGTAGAAGAGTGAAGTCTTTAAAGATTTGCGGTTTTATATGGGGTAATGTATTGATAAATATTTAATTGTTTAAATGTAATAACATAATCCCACTGGATTCCCCTCCAGATATTTCAGATTTTATTTTTATAAAATAACAAACGAAAATGTATCTTAATAAATCAGGTCGGTGTTTGTTTAGTTTTATGTTTCTATGTTCAGTAGGGCTCCGGTAGGTTAGTGTTCTAGTCTGGTAGACCGGAGGTGGTGGGTTCGATTCCCACCTGATGCACCAAACAATTTACCCGAATTCGGTCCTATATAGACTTTAGTACCCGAATTCCAAAGAAATGTACTAATAGCTTATTTTGTGTGAATAAATTTTATAAAAATTGGCTCAATTAGTTCGAATAAATTAAATTTCCCGTTTTTTTTCCCTTTATGGTACTTTTTCCCCAGTGAAATAGTAAATATTTTGTTTCAATGCATATTACAGAGTTAGTACGTATGTAATTTAATATGTAGACGTCAATAAATCGAAAAAGTTTTCTTAATGTGTTAGAAAAAAGTACCAAAAATACAGTTTTCTCCCTTTTACACACAAAAAGGAATAAATTTTAATAAAGTACTAAACAGGTATCTCATCATTTTGGAAGAGATATTCAACATATTTACAAAAATTTTATTAAGTTTATTAGTTAAAAAGTTATAAAGGGCCAAAAAAAGGTATTAAAATCACATTTGTTACACATTTTCACCCCTTTAAAGTACGAATTTCAAAAAAGTACCACACGATCGTCTACTCATTATAAGAGTAGATACAAGTGCATTTAATTTCTTTTATCACTAATATTTAATACGATAATTCAAAAAACCCTTTTTACCCGTTTTCCCCCTTTTTACCGCTAAATTTACCAATTTCCAGAAATCCCTTCTTAGCGGATCTACATAACATAAAACAGGCATGGGGGTAATGATTACACAAAGTAATTAATTTCAATGTCAATTACAATTACTTGTAATGTTTAATTGAAAAATAATCAATTACAATTACTTGTAATTGTAATTGAAATTTTTCCAATTACAATTACTTGTAATGTGTAATTGACAAATAACTTCAATTAAAATTACATGTAATTGTAATTGGTAATGCTTCAATTACAATTACTTCAAATGTAATTGCAATTGAAAATGTAGTCATTACCCCCAAGCCTGACATGAAACACATTGTAGGTGACATACATATATACACACACACACAGACATACATACACACATACATACATACATACATACATACATACATACATACATACATACATACATACATACATACATACATACATACATACATACATACATACATACATACATACATACATACATACATACATACATACATACATACATACATACATACATACATACATACATACATACAGTTGCGTTCAAAATAATAGGAGTGAAAATTTCAAAAATTTTAAATATAAACTTTTTAGTGAAAGATTTAGATTTTTAATTAAATATTTTTATAATTTATTTATATAACTTGTTCTCTAATTTTATAATCGTTATTTTAAATATTAAGAAATTTATTTAAAAAAATATATATTTTTTTAAATTTATATACAAAATCTGTTGTTCAAAATAATAGGAGTATTCGATTTAAGTTCAAATATTTTTAAAATAAAAACAAAAACCAAGGGATTTCATCTAAAATATTATTAATTAATGTGTGGCAGTACAGCATCAGTCATTTTTGTCAAGATTTTATTTAGAATTTGGGTATATGAGCCTCCGGATCATAATGTCTTTCCGACAACGGTTTTGAGAGGGTTGATGACACATGTCGTGGCCGATTATCCACAAATATGCAGTTATTTATTCAGAAAACCTTAAAGGACGTTATATGCAAAGTCTTTTAACGTTTTGCTTTAGAATCAGTATGTCGACAACCATGTAATGGCCTACTTCCTATGGAACGACCTCCCACCAATATGGAATCAATAATGTTTTCATACCACAACACCGCCATTTTATCAAATTTGTTTATTGGGAATATGAGAACATATCTTGGGGTATTATGTTTACCTACAACATTTGGTCTACGATACCATTTTACAATCTTTACGACCATACCCTTTTTGTCAAGACCCATCGTGAATCATTCCTATTATACGACTTCTTTGAAAGTTGGTTAGAGCTTAATATTTTTCGATTAATGGACTTCCAATATATTTTCTGAATTCATTTAGATTAAAAAATGTAATTTGTTGTCGTGTTCATGCATTAAAAATTCATCCATGTATGAAACCACCTCTAAATGCGTTACTTAGTAAACTTTATGGGTTTTACTATATGCTTTATGGTCTGAAATTAAATTTTTTAAAAAAAGATTTGCTTAAAAATTGATCTGAACTAACTGAATATGGTCTGAAATTAAATTTTTTAAAAAAAGATTTGCTTAAAAATTGATCTGAACTAACTGAATATTGATCACGATGTTTAATAACTACAATTTGGCTTAGTTTCACTAATTTGGGACGCCCTAATCCGATTAATTTTAAAAAAATTATAAGCGCTTATGGGAAGCGCTTATCATATTTGATTAAAATGTTTATTTTTTATAAGAAATTTTTAAACATTTGACTTCCTAAAGTATTCAAAAAATCTTTTAATGAAATTAGCATGAGATTTTTCATATTTTTTTTTCGCGATATTTTCATAATTTTCAAGATATTTGAACAGATTTCATTTTCGTCAATTCTGACATTTTCTTTCAGGATTTTAAATGAAATAATTGTGAACTGAGCATAAAATTACTTAAAATCATCTAAATATAACAGTTTTATATTATATTTTTAATATTTACTACGAATAATGGAAATTGATCTAACTTAGGTTATATAATATACGGTACTCCTATTTTTTTGAGCAGCCGAAATCTGATATGGATTTCGAAAAAAGTGAATACCAAAAAAACTAATGAACCTATATAAAAAATTTCATTCGTTTTGTATTTTAAACACTTAACAAACAAATATCGTGAAAAATATTGGATTTCTGTAAATGTTTTTTTTTTAAATTAAGCTGCACAATTATTTTTAAGTCTCACTCCTATTTTTTTGAACACAGCTGTACATACATACATACATACATACATACATACATACATACATACATACATACATACATACATACATACATACATACATACATGGGACGCCCTAATCCGATTAATTTTAAAAAAATTATAAGCGCTTATGGGAAGCGCTTATCATATTTGATTAAAATGTTTATTTTTTATAAGAAATTTTTAAACATTTGACTTCCTAAAGTATTCAAAAAATCTTTTAATGAAATTAGCATGAGATTTTTCATATTTTTTTTTCGCGATATTTTCATAATTTTCAAGATATTTGAACAGATTTCATTTTCGTCAATTCTGACATTTTCTTTCAGGATTTTAAATGAAATAATTGTGAACTGAGCATAAAATTACTTAAAATCATCTAAATATAACAGTTTTATATTATATTTTTAATATTTACTACGAATAATGGAAATTGATCTAACTTAGGTTATATTAAGTATACGTACTTCCTATTTTTTGAGCAGCCGAAATCTGATATGGAATTTCGAAAAAAAGTGAATCCAAAAAAACTAATGAACGCTATAATAAAAAATTTCAATTCGTTTTGTATTTCTAACACTTAACAACAAATATCGTGAAAAATATTGGATTCTCTGTAAATGTTTTTATTTTAAATTAAGCTGCACAATTATTTTTAAGTCTCACTCACTCATATTTTTTGAACACAGCTGTAACATACATATAACATACATACATACATACATACATAAATACATACATACATACCATACATACATACATACATACATACATACATACATACATACATACAATACATACATCATACATACATACATACCTACATACATACATACATACAGACCATACCATACATACATACATACATTACATACATACATACATACATACATAATATACATCATACATACATACATACATACATACATACATACATACATACATACATACATACATACATACATACATACATACATACATACATACATACATACATACATACATACATACATACATACATACATACATACATACATACATACATACATACATACATACATACATACATACATACATACATACATACATACATATACATACATACATACAGACTACATACATACATACATACATACATACATACATACATACATACATACATACATACATACATACATACATACATACATACATACATACATACATACATACATACATACATACATACATACATACATACATAACATACATACATACATACATACATACTACATACATACATACATACATACATACATACATACATACATACATACATACATACATACATACATACATACATACATACATACATACATACATACATACATACATACATACATCATACATACATACATACAGACATACATACATACAATACATACATACATACATACATACATACATACATACATACATACATACATACATACATACATACATACATACATACATCTACATACATACCTACATACATACATACATACATACATACATACATACATACATACATACATACATACTACATACATACATACATACATACATACCATACATACATACATACATACATACATACATACATACATACATACATACATACATACATACATACATACATACATACATACATACATACATACATACATACATACATACACATACATACATACATACATACATACATACAACTACTACATACATACATACATACATACATACATACATACATACATACATACATACATACATACATACATACCTACATACTACTACTACATACATCATACATACATACATACATACATACTACATACATCATACATACATACATACATACATCATACATACATACCATACATACATACATACATACATACATACATACATACATACATACATACATACATACATACATACATACATACTACATACATACATACTACATACATACATACATACATACATACATACATACATACATACATACATACATACATACATACATACATACTACATACATACATACATACATACATACATACATACATACATACATACATACTACATACATACATACATACATACATACATACATACATTACATACATACATACTAATACATACATACATACATACATACATACATACGACATACATACATACATACATACATACATACATACATACATACATACATACTACATACATACATACATACATACATACATACATACATACATACATACATACATACATACATACATACATACATACATACATACATACATACATACATACATACATACATACATACATACATAAATACATACATACATACATACATACATACTACATACATACATACATCATACATACATACATACATACATACATACATACATACATACATACACATACATACATACATACATACATACATACATACATACATCATACATACATACATACCTACTACATACATACATACATACATACATACATACATACATACATACATACATACACATACATACATACATACATACATACATACATACATACATACATACATACATACATACAGACATACATACATACATACATCATACATACATACATACATACATACATACATACATACATACTACATACATACATACCTACATACATACATACATACATACATACATACATACATACACATACATACATACATACATACATATACATACATACATACATACATCATACATACATACATACATCATACATACATATACATACATACATACATACATACATACATACATACATACTATACATACATACATACATACATACATTCATACATTTGATCTAAGGACCTATTTCGATGATTTTAAATTGTAGTCTTCCCGAACGTATGTCTCATAGAATTATCTTCTGAAAACAACATACACACAGGCAGACAAATGAACAGACGAGGTTCCAATATATATACTTTATAGGGTCGCAAATTTATATTCTAGAAATTACAAACGGAATCACAACCTTATGTATACCCTTCTCTCGAAGGTGAAGTATAAATAGATTATGATCGTAATTTTAATGTTTTACTTTAAGGAGGGGTTAGGGCCTTATACTATCTAATATGTGTGCCTTACTCTTTTCTATTAAAAATAAATCTCTCTCAAGAATTTCTTTTTATATTAAAAATACCTACAAAAACCACAAATATTACAGATTATATTTATACTTAAAAAAAATACATAATAATTCTACTTGGAAAAGAGAAAAACAAATTAAAACGATTTCAATACACAGTCATTTCTTAGATCTCAAACAATAAACTACAATATAAAATAATAAAATGGATCATCGTACTGAAATAGCGTGTTTTAATGTCTATCATTCGGATTTCTTAATGGAATATATATTAAAATATTTAGATTTAAAAGAACAAGTGAAACTAGTTGATATAGCTAAACGTTTCGGTTATGTTTTATCTACGTTCCTGTGGCCCAAAACTTGCTCTAAAATTATACTATATAAAACTCCCTATGTCAATATTATAGCAAATATATCAAAAAAGAGCAAAGAACAAGAAACGGAAATGGAAGAGATTAGAAAAGCCAAAGTGGCCTTAAATCATACAGAATGTAATAATTTTTTATTTTTAAACGCACAAAATGTAAAAGCCTTAAAAGTGAATTCGGAATATTTTTATCATCAACGAGAATTGGGAATTTCTTTTAAAAATATAAAAATCTTTACTAATTTAAGAGAGCTTACCTACTATCGCCTCATACTGGATGATGAGCAAATGCGTGTGCTGGCTAGAAAGTGCAAGAAAATTAAGAAATTACATTTAATAGAATGTTACAATGAGTACTTGACGCCACTGGTACCGGGGGAGCATTTGAATCTGGAATATATTTACGAAATGAAAAAGTTGGAGGAATTGGTATTATACGCAGAACCAGATGCTGAGGCCGTAATTAAATCCTATCATTTACAAGACATGTTTGTCAATTTAAAGTTAAAGAAATTGATTCTGAAAAATTTCATTATAGATGATAATGACGCCGATACTTTGGAAACTATATGCGATACTTTGGAGGTCCTCAATATGGGCATGATATCCATGTGCTATTGGCCCAGTTTTATGCATTATTTAAGTCATTTTGAAAATCTACGTGAACTTTGTATAAATGTCAGTGATTACAATACCACCTTGAATGCCCAAACCGTAGATATTCTCGCCAATAAATGTAAAAATCTGCAAAAACTTTCTCTAGAGAAATGTGATTTGAGTGTGGAAGATTTTGGTGTTTTAACAAGTCTTAAACATTTATCCTTAGACTCCTGTGGTGGTCTAACATTTGCCAATTTTCAACAGATATTGGGTGCTTTAACTTTGAAATCATTTGCCATGATTAATACTCGCATTTTTGGCAATATAAATCATATATATGTTTCACCTACTTTGGAAAAGATCAGCATTGACACCATACGCTTTACCCAGATATCGGAAGCTTTTCAAAAATCACTTAATAATTTTGAAAGTCTACACACCTTAGAGTGGTTAAATGGCGACATAAATGATAATTGGATTATAGATAAATGCCCTAAATTGAAATATCTACACATACCCAATCCGTATTTATTAAGACGTATTGTTTTCACCATGAAATCCCTCAAAGAATTGACCTTTACTTCGTGTACGGGTCTGTCGTGGTGTTTTATATTGATTTTAATACGCAACTTAAAACTAGAACGTTTGTGTCTGCAGACCAATGAACTGATAGATGATGACAAAGAAATTCCTTTTAATGCCTGCGGTATAAAAACAACATTGCGCATGATAACTATACCATGTAATATTTTTAAAATGGCTCAGTCATTTTGGCTTGATCTGATGTATTTGAATGTCGATTTACATTATTTGATTTATGGCAAACATGAAGAATTATTGGATGGTATATTTCTGGATGAGTTGATTTTCTGTGAGAGGTTTTGTCGTCGCGTCAAGTGGATAAAGATTTGCGGTTATAAATTGGGTAAAGTATATATTGTATTCTAAATTGACTTAGAATGATATTCTATTATGCAGAAGGCAAGAACTAGAACAGAACTAGAGCAGTACTAGAACATAACTGGACAGAACTAGAATAGAACTAGAACAGAACTAGAACAGAACTAGAACAGAACTAGAACTGAACTAGAACTGAACTAGAACTGAACTAGAACTGAACTAGAACTGAACTAGAACAGAACTAGAACAGAACTAGAACAGAACTAGAACAGAACTAGAACAGAACTAGAACAGAACTAGAACAGAACTAGAACAGAACTAGAACAAAGTAGAACAGAACTAGAACAGAACTAGAACAGAACTAGAACAGAACTAGAACAGAACTAGAACAGAACTAGAACAGAACTAGAACAGAGAACAGAACAGAACAGAACTAGAACAGAACTAGAACAGAACTAGAACAGAACTAGAACTGAACTAGAACTGAACTAGAACTGAACTAGAACTGAACTAGAACTGAACTAGAACTGAACTAGAACTGAACTAGAACTGAACTAGAACTGAACTAGAACTGAACTAGAACTGAACTAGAACTGAACTAGAACTGAACTAGAACTGAACTAGAACTGAACTAGAACAGAACTAGAACATAACTAGAACAGAACTAGAACAGAACTAGAACAAAAGTAGAACAGAACTAGAACAGAACAGAACTAGAACAGAACTAGAACAGAACTAAGAACTAGAACAGAACTAGAACTAGAACTTGAACAGAACTAGAACATAACTAGAACAGAACTAGAACAGAACTAGAACAGAACTAGAACAGAACTAGAACAGAACTAGAACAGAACTAGAACAGAACTAGAACAGAACTAGAACAGAACTAGAACAGAACTAGAACAGAACTAGAACAGAACTAGAACAGAACTAGAACAGAACTAGAACAGAACTAACTAGAACAGAACTAGAACAGAACTAGAACAGAACTAGAACAGAACTAGAACAGAACTAGAACAGAACTAGAACAGAACTAGAACAGAACTAGAACAGAACTAGAACTGAACTAGGACTGAACTAGAACTGAACTAGAACTGAACTAGAACTGAACTAGTACTGAACTAGAACTGAACTAGAACTGAACTAGAACTGAACTAGAACTGAACTAGAACTGAACTAGAACTGAACTAGAACTGAACTAGAACTGAACTAGAACTGAACTAGAACTGAACTAGAACTGAACTAGAACTGAACTAGAACTGAACTAGAACTGAACTAGAACTGAACTAGAACTGAATTAGAACAGAAATAGAACCTTTTTGTAAAAAAAAATTTAGAGGTTGTATCGAATATCTCCGTTATTTGTAGTCCGATTTTGTGGATTTTAAATAGTATTTTTTTAATTCATGTGTGATAGAATTATTGGAGATTCAGATCATGAAATATCTGAGGTCTCCTGAAAACTAATCTGAATATAGATAGACGAACGAGGCTATGACGGACGAGGAATGACACGGAATGAAGGGTATACAAAGAGGGTGTATGAACCTTAATAACATGAAAATCTTCTTGTATTACTAAGCAATCTTTAAAATATACCCTTCTTAAAAATACAAATGAATGTTGCTACCGATGAATAAAAATTGTAATTATAAAGACAAAAACCACAGATCTTAGACATGATATTAAATATAAATTTTCCTTATTTAACACAAGTATTTTACAAACATTGTCTCTGATAAACAGTTTTAAACAAGATCTTGAACAATAAAGACGACAAAAACAATTTTAGTTGATAAATAGACATGAATATTCGCTTACAAAAGGCGTGTTTTAATGTCTTTAAATCGGATAATATTTTGGAAAATATTTTCAAATTCTTAAATTTAAGTGAACAATTGAAATTAGTGAGCGTGTGCAAACGTTTCGAATACTTCTTAACCAAACAATTATGGCCAAAAATTTATCCAAACATAAATTTATATTTAAGACATGATATACACATTATTACCATTATAACAAATAAGGAAAACAGACATGGGATGGATGTGGACTTAGTGGAAGGAAGGAAAACCAAAATGGTATTATCACCTAAAGAACTAGTACATTTTCTACATTTACAAGCTAAACATGTTAAGACCTTAAAATTGCACTCGGAATACCAGCAGCAAGATATATGTCTTTCCTTTGAAAATATGCGAATATTTAGTAATTTAGCAGAACTTACTTATCACCGGCTATGTGTCGACGATGAACAATTAAGAGTGCTGGCGAAGAAATGTAAAAATTTACAAAAATTACATTTACTGGAATGTTACTGTCAAAATCTCTCACCTCTTATACCAGGAGTTCACTTAAATTTGAACATTTTAAACGATATGCAGCAGTTAGAGGAACTTGTCATACGAGCAGAGGCTCAAGCCAATATAGTGATGAGATCTCATGATCTTCAAGTTATATTACTGAATACCAACTTAAAAATATTAATACTACAAAATATCTCCTTATATGGTAATGCTGCTGATAACTTAGAGAACCTAACAAACAGTTTGGAGGTATTCGATGTGGGTGTCATAACCTCACAATTCTGGCCAAATTTCCACTATTATCTCAATCATTTCGATAAACTGAAAGAGCTCAGTATAAATGTCAGTGATTGTACAACAGTTTTGAATATACAAATTATACATATTTTGGCCACCAACTGTTTGCAACTGGAGAAATTGTGTTTGGAGAAATGTGATTTGTGTGTGGAAGATTTCGCTGTTTTGAAAAATCTTAAACATTTATCTTTAAACTCTTGTGGAGGTCTAACATTTGCGAATTTCCAACAGCTTTTAGGAGGCATAAAACTGCAAACATTTAGTCTCATTAATACGCGAATATTGGGTGAAATATCCCATATATATGCTTCACCCACCCTGGAAAAAATCATCATCGATAGCATACATTATGCTGAAATATCGAAAGCTTTAAAGAAATCTCTCAATAAATTTGAAAACCTACGCACGCTAATATGGTTAAATGGCAGCATAACCGACAGATGGCTCATAGATAAATGTCCCAAATTGCAATATCTTCACATACCCTGCCCACTTTCGTTAAAACCTATTATATCTCAACTAAAATCTCTTAAGGAATTATCATTTACTTCCTGCAATGGTGTGTCATGGGCTTTTATTTTGTTCTTGATAAGTGTACTGCTGTTGAAATGTTTGTACTTGAGAACTAATGAAATCATGAGTGATAATACTGTCATTCCGGTAAATGCTTGCGGTATAAAAACTTCGCTACGTATGATTTTAATACCGTGTAAAATATTTCGAAAAGCTCAGTCGTTTTGGATTGATTTGTTGTGTTTGAATGAGCAATTGCATTATTCGATTTATGGCAAACATGAAGAACTATTGGATGAGGAATTCTTGAATGAATTGCTTTTGTGTGAAAAGTTTTGTCTCAGAGTTAAATGGGATTGAGATTTGTGGTTTTAAATTGGGTAAAGTATTTGAAGAGAGAGAGAGAGAGGGAATAATTGATTAACTCTATTAAATTTATTATGTTTTATAAAGACAACAACCTATTTCTAGTTCAGTTCTAGGTCAGATCTGGTTCAGTTTCTAGTGTCGGTTCTAGTCGCGGGTACTAGTTTCAGTTCTAGTCAGTTCTAGTCAGTTTCTAGCTTCAGTTCTAGTTCAGTTCTAGTTCTAGTCATTCGTTCTAGTTATTCAGTTCTAGTTCAGTTTCTAAGTTCAGTTCTAGTTCAGTTCTAGTTCAAGTTCTAGTTCAGGTTCTAGTTCAGTTTCTAGTTCAGTAAATTCTAGTTCAGTTCTAGTTCAGTTCTAGTTCAGTTCTGTTCAGTTCTAGTTCAGTTCTAGTTCAGTTCTAGTTCAGTTCTAGTTCAGTTCTAGTTCAGTTCTAGTTCAGTTCTAGTTCAGTTCTAGTTCAGTTCTAGTTCAGTTCTAGTTCAGTTCTAGTTCATTCTAGTTCAGTTCTAGTTCAGCTCTAGTTCAGTTCTAGTTCAGTTCTAGTTCAGGTTCTAGTTCAGTTCTAGTTCAGTTCTAGTTCAGTTCTAGTTCAGTTCTAGTTTCAGTTCTAGTTCAGTTCTAGTTCAGTTCTAGTTCAGTTTCTAGTTCAGTTCTAGTTCAGTTCTAGTTCAGTTCTAGTTCAGTTCTAGTTCAGTTCTAGTTCAGTTCTAGTTCAGTTCTAGTTCAGTTCTAGTTCAGTTCTAGTTCAGTTCTAGTTCAGATCTAGTTCAGTTCTAGTTCAGTTCTAGTTCAGTTCTAGTTCAGTTCTAGTTCAGTTCTAGTTCAGTTCTAGTTCAGTGCTAGTTCAGTTTTATGATTACAAACAGGCAATTTAATGCAATTGTGTCAATAACCTATATATAACATTTTGTTATCTTTGTTAACTCTTTATATTTATGGTAGAACTTAATCCATATTTAAGATATTTTAAAAATTTTCTTTATTACATTTATATATAATTTTAATGAAATTTTATTCTTTTTTCTATTTAGATTGCATGGATCTGCAGGATAATTTTGATCGTGCCATTCAGGAGGTGAACAAATTTACAAGTCATTATCGATTTAAAAATGCTAATTTTACTATGGAGATGTAGACTTTTATGAAATTTATTAAAATTCACATATTAAGTTTAGGTAGTTGTAATAATTTTTAAAAAATTTAGAAAACATTAACTACTTACTACGAAAATTATATGTATGTCGATTATAGTTTGTTTTTTTTTTCTACATTCCGATTTCATGCTTTCCTTTTTTCTAAGGAATCAAATCATTTTTCAAAAATCTTAAATTCTAAGTTATGACACTTTTGATATAAATAAGCGATATGTAGAAGTGTAGGGAGGGCTGACTCACTTTTTTGGTTAGTAGCGCTTTTATATCTTCTTTACATTTGAATTTCTCCATACTCACTATATATAAATTCAGAAGGCGATTAAAACACATATTTATTTTTTTCATTTTCTCTTTTAAAACACACAAATATTATTTCTGTTCTCTGTTTTTTTATTTAAAGTATCAAGTAATTATTCAGTTTTTTTTGTAATTATAACAATTATTATTATTTTTAGTTCTTGCGGTTTTGATTGTTTTGATGTTGTTTTTTTTTTTGTTGTATAGAAATAAACACATATAAAATTTTCACATTTATAATTTACAAACATTTATAATAAGTTGTTATTTTTTATTTTAAGGTTTTTGTTTTCTTTTTAATTGTTTTTTTAAGTTTAATTTAATGATTTTATTATTAGTTAAATTTGATTTTTTGTATTTTTATTTTCTTACATATACAAAGTAGTTACTCATAAGTACATTGCTTTTATTTTAATTGTTGTTTGTTGTTGAATTTATTTTTAATTTGTTTTAATAATTTCTTTTGTAAATTTTAAAATAGTTAACAACATTTACGCTAAAAACAGATAAACTAACAATAAAATATTATTTTTATAAATTATATTTTTTTTAAATAAATGTTTGCTATGATTTCTTTAAACTATTTTTATTTTTAATTATAATGAGAAATTTAATAGAGAAAATATAAGAGTAATGAATGCAGTGGAAAGAATGACAAAAAGAAACAGAACATTTTTGAAAGATGTCAAATGAAGTGGTAACTAATTAACTACTGGGGGTAACAAACTGTTTCTATTAGAGCTGATGTCGGTAAGGAAATATCTTGTTTTAATATGCTTAGATTCCAAGTACTAGAACTGAACTGAACTAGAACTGAACTAGAACTGAACTAGAACTGAAACTAGAACTGAACTAGAACTGAACTAGAACTGAACTAGAACTGAACTAGAACTGAACTAGAACTGAACTAGAACTGAACTAGAACTGAACTAGAACTGAACTAGAACTGAACTAGAACTGAACTAGAACTGAACTAGAACTGAACTAGAACTGAACTAGAACTGAACTAGAACTGAACTAGAACTGAACTAGAACTGAACTAGAACTGAACTAGAACTGAACTAGAACTGAACTAGAACTGAAACTAGAACTGAAACTAGAACTGAACTAGAACTGAACTAGAACTGAACTAGAACTGAACTAGAACTGAACTAGAACTGAACTAGAACTGAACTAGAACTGAACTAGAACTGAACTAGAACTGAACTAGACTGAACTAGAACTGAACTAGAACTGAACTAGAACTGAACTAGAACTGAACTAGAACTGAACTAGAACTAACTGAACTGAACTAGAACTGAACTAGAACTGAACTAGAACTGAACTAGAACTGAACTAGAACTGAAACTAGAACTGAACTAGAACTGAACTAGAACTGAACTAGAACTGAACTAGAACTGAACTAGAACTGAACTAGAACCTGAACTAGAACTGAACTAGAACTGAACTAGAACTGAAACTAGAACTGAACTAGAACTGAACTAGAACTGAACTAAGAACTGACTAGAACTGAACTAGAACTGAACTAGAACTGAACTAGAACTGAACTAGAACTGGAACTAGAACTGAACTAGAACTGAACTGAACTAGAACTGAACTAGAACTGAACTAGAACTGAACTAGAACTGAACTAGAACTGAACTAGAACTGAACTAGAACTGAACTAGAACTGAACTAGAACTGAACTAGAACTGAACTAGAACTGAACTAGAACTGAACTAGAACTGAACTAGAACTGAACTAGAACTGAACTAGAACTGAACTAGAACTGAACTAGAACTGAAAAAAACAAAAAAACTAGAACTGAACTAGAACTGAACTAGAACTGAACTAGAACTGAACTAGAACTGAATAGAACTGAACTAGAACTGAACTAGAACTGAACTAGAACTGAACTAGAACTGAACTAGAACTGAACTAGAACTGAACTAGAACTGAACTAGAACTGAACTAGAACTGAACTAGAACTGAACTAGAACTGAACTAGAACTGAACTAGAACTGAACTAGAACTGAACTAGAACTGAACTAGAAATGAACTAGAACTGAACTAGAACTGAACTAGAACTGAACTAGAACTGAACTAGAACTGAACTAGAACTGAACTAGAACTGAACTATAACTGAACTAGAAATGAACTAGAACTGAACTAGAACTGAACTAGAACTGAACTAGAACTGAACTAGAACTGAACTGAACTGACTAACTGAACTAGAACTGAACTAGAACTGAACTAGAACTGAACTAGAACTGAACTAGACTGAACTAGAACTATAGAACTGACTAGAACTGAACTAGAACTGACTAGAACTGAACTAGAACTGAACTAGAACTGAACTAGAACTGAACTAGAACTGAACTAGAACTGAACTAGAACTAACTAGAACTGAACTAGACTGAACTAGAACTGAACTAGAACTGAACTAGAACTGAACTAGAACTGAACTAGAACTGAACTAGAACTGAACTAGAACTGAACTAGAACTGAACTAGAACTGAACTAGACTGAACTAGAACTGAACTAGAACTGAACTAGAACTGAAACTAGAACTGAACTAGAACTGAACTAGACGACTAGAACTGACTAGAACTGAACTAGAACTGAACTAGAACTGAACTAGAACTGAACTAGAACTGAACTAGAACTGAACTAGAACTGAACTAGAACTGAACTAGACTGAACTTAGAACTGAAACTAGGAACTACTAGAACTAGAACTGGCTGAACTAGAACTGAACTAGAACTGAACTAGAACTGAACTAGAACGGACCTAGAACTGAACTAGAACTGAACTAGATGAAAACTGAACTAGAACGGAACTAATGAACTGAACTAGAACTGAACTAGAACTGAACTAGAAATGAACTAGAACTGAACTAGAACTGACCTAGAACTGAACTAGAACTGAACTAGAACTGAACTAGAACTGAACTAGAACTGAACTAGAACTGAACTAGAACTGAACTAGAACTGAACTAGAACTGAACTAGAACTGAACTAGAACTGAATAGAACTGAACTAGAACTGAACTAGAACTGAACTAGAACTGAACTAGAACTGAACTAGAACTGAACTAGAACTGAACTAGAACTGAACTAGAACTGAACTAGAAACTAGAACTGAACTAGAACTGAACTAGAACTGAATCTAGAATGAACTAGAAACTGAACTAGAACTGAACTAGAACTGAACTAGAACTGAACTAGAACTGAACTAGAACTGAACTAGAACTGAACTAGAGCTGAACTAGAACTGAACTAGAACTGAACTAGAACTGAACTAGAACTGAACTAGAACTGAACTAGAACTGAACTAGATCTAGAACTGAAATATAATTGAACTGAACTAGAACTGAAATATAATTGAACTGAACTAGAACTGAAATATAATTGAACTGAACTAGAACTGAAATATAATTGAACTGAACTAGAACTGAATTGCAGAAATTTTCGATGTCAAAAAGTGCTGAAAAAATAAAAAGTACAATATGGTAAAAAAATCTTTCAATGATAACACATTTGTCACATTTGCCGATAATCGTTCTAAAAAGATCTTTCATGAGATATGTACTATAAAACAGATACGTATTGCTTTTACTTAAAACTAATTTTTGAGGACAAAACTTAATTCATTGAAGTACTTAATAAAATTGAAAGTACCCAAGATTGTGATTAACTTATAAATGAATTGAAAGCTTATTTAGAAAGTAAAAGAAAAATAAAACAAAATCATTTACTTTCACCTAAATTTACTAAATATAAATACACACGACCTCTAAATTAATTGAAATCTACTCTGACTAAAAGACTTTTTCAAATTATAACAATGAGAAAAGATGTAAAAGAAAAATTGAAAATAAATTACACTCTAATGTTATAATAATATTTGTTACTAACATTAATGTATTTTTTTCTTCTACACAACTACAACTTTGAGTTGTAAAGTAATTCCATTTAATTAATTAATATTAGCTGCTTAAACTCTATACAGTATTCTTCTCTTCCTCTTTATTACTGTCCACTTCAATCTGCAAAACGATATCGTCAGGAGGTTTACATTCTTCAATATCTCCGCCCGTCCCTGACCCCGATTGCTCCAATATTTTTTCTGGTATTGAAAAGGAACTTAACTTACGTTCGGCCAATGCAGTTTCACTATCCGCCTTCAGCAGTGTTGAACGTCTTTCATTGATAACCTGTTCGGAATCGTAGAAATCATTACAGTGTTGTAGAACCCTATGTTCGGAACGTATATAAAATATGGAGTCATCATGTTCTGAGGTTTTATGGCTTTTGGGACGATCATAAGTGCGTGAGGAATTGCTGCGTTGCAGATTTTTGTAACGTTCATGATTAACGTTGGTGGTTTTACTAAAATCAATAATGGCAGAATTTTCCATTAGTGGTAAAGAATCGGGGCGGGGTTTTTTCAATATACCAGACCGGTTGGGTGATTTCATTTCCGGTTTAGTTGTTGGTAATGCTGTTGGCGGCGGTGGTGTTGTTGGTGGTTGTGGTGGCGGTGGAAGATCTACTGGATTGATTATTGTGGTAGTGGTTAACGAACGAGGAGATTCGGTTTGGGAGATTTGATAGCTATCATCTGCTAGCTCTATAGCTTCTTCGGGCAGACAGGGTTCTAGACTTGATTGTCCCGACAGTTGACGTATGGCGGCGGGTGGCTCAGAACATACGGAAAGTTGACTTCTTCAGAAGTGGGTAGTTCGGGTAGAGGAGGGGAAAAGTTTTTGTTATAATTTTTTTGAATGTGGCAAATTCGACTAATCTTTAACTCGACCATAGTCTAAACTATAGATACCTTCGACTACAAACTGGAATATAAACTGAACTATTGATTTAACAATGCCCTGAACTAAAAACTCGACAATTTTAACCTCGAAGGAAGATTCGACTCTAGTCTATACTAGTACTATATTAGTCTGACTTGACTATAGACTTAACTATAGAATTCAGTATAGTCTAGACTACAGACTCGACCATAGCTTAGACTACAGACTCGATTATAGTCTGAACTAAACACTAGATTACTGACTCGTCTATAGTTTGGACTATACACTTGGCTAATTCTGGACAAAAGTCCACTCTATAAATCCGACTATATTCTGGACTGTATGTATAATATAACCTCGAATGAAGATTCGACCCTTGTCTGACTCGACTATAGATTTGACTATAGACTCGACTATAGTCTTAACTTTAGAATTAAGTATAGTCTGGACTATATAGCCAATAGCTTAGACTACAGCTTAGACTGGACTATAATCTGGACTATAGACTGGACTATAGACTGGACCATAGACTTGACTATAGTCTGCACTACAGACTTGAATATAGTCTTGACTATAGAATCGATTGTTATTAGGTCTATTGACTGGACTATTGTCTGAACTATAAACTTGACTATAGTATGGACTATAAAGTCATCTATAGTCTGGACTATAGTCCTGAATAAAGATTCTACAATAGAGTGGACTAAAGAGTCAACTATGGTCATCTCTATAGACTCGACTGTAGACTGGACTATAGACTCGAATATAGTCTGGACTATAGACTCGAATATAGTATGGACTATAGAATCGAGTATAATCTGGACTATAGTCCAGTACTGTAGTCTGGACTATGATTTGGACTCTAGTCTGGACTTAGTCTCGACTATAGTCTGGACTATAGAATCAACAATTTGGATTATATACTGGATTATAGACTCTACTATAGTCCATACAATAGACTCGGTAGTAATCTATACTATAGACTAACCTTTACACTCGGCTTTTGTTTGGACTACAGACTCGACTATATTTTGTAGAATTTCAAAAAAATGTTAATAGAGATTTCGATCGCTCTCTAGTATAATCTCAAATTTATATTTTGTACTGATCTACGATTTGGCTTCTTAGGATTTATGCTTTTAACTTTAAGCTCATATAAGGACAATTATCGAACTTTTTTTTATATACTAAATAAAATTTATTGCTCACTTACCGAAATTCCTTTTCGACTGAAGGTGTTGTCGATGGACCTGAGCTATAACGTTTCGGTGAACGTAATATAGATTTGGGCATTACCTCTGGACTATGTAAATCTACTTGTATACGTCTTGAATCTATGCTAGAAGCACGACTGGCTATAGAAGCACAACGAGCCGTCCAGCGGCCACTATACGAAGAATCTGACATGGTAGAACATCTGTAAAAAAACAACAACAATATGT